AGGCCTGTTATTCTGGTCTGGTTGTTGGCAACAGGTTGATTCAAATCGCCGTTTGGGTCTCTTAGCATCTTCTTTGCACATTCATATTCAGGGTTAGAGGTATCATTGGACAAGTGAAAACATTGAGTGTTGCTCTTGAGTTGGGAGTTCAGTTGGCGACACGTTCGACCAAAGTTTCGTCTATCGTGAAATGATAAATTGAAAGAAAAAATGTGCGAAATGCAGTCCTCTGGCAGTTGAGTTGCACAGAAGGTACTAATGTAGAGGGTGGTGTCAGTTTGATCAACCGAAGACATCTTTATTCGGAAGGGAATGGTGATGGTGAAGAATGGGTGAAATAGGTGATAAATCACATTTGTTGTGTTGTTTGTCCTCAACGGCCAAAATATTCTTTTTTGCCTACTCATTTGTTGCCGCTACAACATTGCCACCACACAAAGGCCGACCACAAAACGGGGTAGATTAGGCCCACTAGGGCTTGCCTTTCTCTCTCACAAACAAAGTGCCTCTACCACAAACGTCTTGCTTTTTTTCAGCTCGCACAAACTTGTTTTTATCGCTAAGGAATATTCTTTTGCCTGTTGTCACACAAATTCTTTTTTTGTCGACATCTGGCGACACTTCAGCTCTGATCGGTGTAACGATTTACTTAATGGAAACAATTTGGATTTTGATGACTTTAATATTGTTTAGCATTTTGCAAACATTTTCTGGTTAAACATTTAAAGTTTTTTCTTTTTGATAAGTAAGCACTTCCCTTTTATCAGTAAGAACATCTTCCAGCGAGTTGTACCGTACCACAGTACGACTGCCGTCTTTCTCTTTGCCTAAATGGACATAACAAAACTCAAAACTGACTTCTAACTGCTGTACAGAAGTGGGCAAACGGAACTGCAGGCTGCTCACCAGTTTTCTTGCACACTCCTGGTAGCTGCCCACTTTCATCTGTGTGCACTGTATGCAGTGATTCTGAACGTAGTGCACCTTTAGTCGCCGCAACTGAGGAAAGAGATGATCGAGAAAGAAGTTCTGAAGAACATTGCTGTGCTCGGCAGTACTGAAGCCCCTTATCTCTACAGTGGTCACACTGGGCAGCGGTTTTATTTGGTTCAGCAATGAAATGGGCAGCACCATAGTTTCCAGTGGTTGATGCCATTCACCTTCTTCGATGGTCTGCTGTCTCCAGGTCAATCGATTCGGCAAGTCGATGAGTAGTGTGCGCAAAACGGGAGCAAACGAGGTGGAGGCATTGCTCAACTGATGCATCGCAGAGTGGATAAAAATGGCCATTTGCGTTAATGTTTCTTGTGTACGCTTGGCTTCCTGCTCGTGAAAGAAAATCAGCTGAAGAGTGCTTAGACGTGGCAGATGCAACCAGGGATTCAAACTGCAGAAAGTGGGCCAACTTTCCTTGCCAGGTGTTTTAAAGGCGAACACCTCGGCGGCGGTGATGTACGCAAGTGCTCGGTTGTCTGTAGTTCCCAGAGGACCGTTTTTAGTGTTGACGGCAATCACCAGGCTGCCATCAGCCACTGACAGCTTTGGATTGAGATCGACAGAGTGAGAGATCAGCTCGCACAAGATCGACAGGCGCATTGCCGTGTACAGGCGAAAGGAGTGAAGCTGTTCAGAGAGCAGCAGAAAGCCGTTGGGTGGAAATTTGGCTGCTATGTTCTGCTCGAAATTTTTGAGACAGGAAAAGGGGTTCTCGACAATGGCCAGTGTGAGGTGAAGAAGTGCCGGTGGGCGTAAGCTACTGAAAGGGAACCAGAAGGTGGTGTAAACAGAGTAAGGGCTGGTCAGGCCAAACTCTTCCTGGTACGACTCCATTTCAAAGGAGATACAGAGCGTCAAAGTGGTTAGTTGGGAGAGACTGTTTAGCTGTTTCACCAGACGAGGAAACCTGGTCAAGCTGAGCTGGCCAGTGAGCTCAAGACTGGTCAGCTGGGGAAATAGTGATGCCTTAAAGGAGTTGAGAAAGTTGTTGACGGTTTTAGAGGTTAGACGAAATACGGTTTGATTGTCGGCTACAGGTTGATTCAAGCTGCCGTCCTTGTCTCTGAGCATCTTCTTCGCCCACTCGTAGCCAGGGTTATCGGTGTCATTAAGCAGCTGAAGACACTGCAGCCTCTGCATGTAAAGTCTGTAGCGGCCGTTTAGCTGACTACAGGTTTGTCCCAAGTTGATCACATCTTGGAAAGAGAAGTAAACGTTGAAAAGATGATAAAGGCAATCGTCTGGCAGTTGTGTGGCACAAAAGGTGCTAAAGTAGAGGGGAAGCGTTGCAGTTTCACTTGCTGAAGACATCTTTTTAGAGAATACTTTCAGACAATTGCCAGAATGATCACTTCTGTTATTGTCACCTGTTGATGTTGCCCTAGCTGTTAAATCTGTGGCTCACAAGCACGTCTGACACACAAAGACCGACCACAAAGGCCAGAGAAGAGAGTGCCCCCTTCCAAAAAGTCTCCACTTTGGCCCAATCACACAAGACACACACACACACACACATGCTCATACCACTACCACTACCACTACCTACTTTACTGCTGCTTTTACGTATTCATTTCAGCGCAGGTCACCTAGGCACAATATCATGATTGCAGAAATGAGCTTTCTTAAACTTGACCTACATTTGAAAAGTGATAAAGCAATTGCCATATTTCACACGGCAGATCTGAGATTTGAGTTTTATTTCAAATGATTGACTGTTGACAAAAACTAAAAAATATCTCTTACTCTGCGGCAGCTACATGGCTGTAGAAATTAGAGCCAGAGCAGATGCATCTCTTCTCTTTCAGCACAGAGAGACTGTTGCACAGGCTGCTTCTGTATTTCAGTACTTCAGTTCTACACTTTTCGATGCGTCATCGGCACCAGTCGTCTGGCGCAGTCTGGGCAGCAGCCGGCACTGCTGAAGGGGGAAGGGAAGCTACCCAGACACTGTTGCCACTGTCGCCACCGCTGTCAGAGCTGTTGAGCGCCGGCTGACATCGTCGGCTCATCGTCTCCGTCCTTCAGCTCTGCCTCGACCGTCACCTCGAAAGGACTCGCCAGTGCTCCCCAGTTCTCTCATAGTCTTGCCCTCTCTTTCTCTACGGTAGGTAAACAGAAAAGCAAACTAACTATTTGTTGTTTTTTATATAATCAGATTTCCATCTGTTTTACAGTAACTGACTCATAAATAGGATTCTATTAGAAGGTATTTGCTGGTCACCTGTTCCAGAACACATCTTTGCTTTGTGGTTGATCTCAAGTGATCTCAAGGTAAGTGGGCACTTTTGTCAGCTTGTGTGAATTTGCATTCTCTCTCTCTCTCTCTCTCTCTCTCTCTCTCTCTCTCTCTCTCTCTCTCTCTCNTCTCTCTCTCTCTCTGATGCGGCAACTTTTCTTTTCTTCTTCTCCAGGATTGACGACACAAAAGATGCCAGGCCACAAGAAGAACCAAGTGCTCATGCATTGTGACAAAGTCCAGATTTTTGAAAAGCTCGTCCAGTGGAAGGAGAGTGCACAGATCTCTCTGGCAGTCCCTTCGACGCCTCTCTACCTTTTCAGTCGAGTGTACCAGCGTTTTCTCTACTTCATGACCGTCTTCACCCTGATTTTCTTTGCACGAAGCGACGTCTTTCACTGTAACTCCGATGATGACCAGGAAAGAGAGTACCTCGATTCGGTGTGCGCTCTGCCCGCTGTCGGCCTCCACCAGAGTCACCCCGGGCGGCAGATATGGGACGCTGAGGAGGCACAGGCCCACAACTACTACATCTGGACAATCTTCTTTTGGGTGGGCCTGGTGAGTCACACTACATTTCCACACATTGCTCATTCTTTGTTCTTTCACTACTCATATTTCGCCAATTGCCTCATTTCATTACAGTCGGTCTCCACCTTTCTTCCGTTGTGGCTGTTCAACCGGTGCCAGAAGGTAACTCTCAAGCACATGGCTGCTTTGACTCAGTGGTATCATCTGTGTGACCAAGCAAGCAGGCTTACAGACGAGGAGAGGGAGAAGGAAATAGAGGCGAAGCAGCTGAATGATAAGAAGGAGTGCGCTAAACTTTTCTTCGAGCACCTCTTCATCCTCCGTCTCATCGGTGATCTGCTGCACATTTCGGCGAAACGTAGGCGCAGCTTCTTCTTTCACCTTGCCCTGGCGTACTTCCTCCCAGTGGTCATTCTCTTTCTTCAGATTGTATATCTCCTCTGGGCCTTTGGTCCTGAACTGCTGACGGTGACCCTGCCCGGATACCTTCTCTTCTTCTTTGGCCTCCGCTCTAGCCTTCCACCACAGGAGGTCACCTCTTCGATGTTTCCCATCTTCGCCAGCTGTCACTACCGCAGCCATGGCCCCAGCAGCAGCATCATGATCCGTGATGCTCGATGTATCCTCCTGCTGAACCTGTACAACCTCTACACCATTCACTTGCTGCTCTTTGTACAGATCGCGCTGATCGTTGTGCTCACTCTGGTGCCGATTTCTAATCTGCTGTACATTTCCATTTTGCCAAACTTTCGCCAAGAGGTACGCCAGTGGGCTGCTCGCATGAAGGCCTCCTACCGCCCGGAACTGGCCGCTCAGTATGTGGGCGCAAACAAGAACTACTTCGGTGCTTTTGTACTGGTCAGTGCTGTGGGATTGCAGTGTAATCAAGTACTCATCATATTTTTTCACACTTTACTTTTCAGCTCCACATGAGCGGTTTCAACAATGAGCAGATAATTCAGACAGTGGAAGATTGCTCACAAATGGTGAATGAGTACCTGGAGCACAATGAAATGCCCAAGCTGAGCGAGACATTTGAAGAGTCAATTGATGCTGGCCTCAGTCAACATCTTTGAGATATTAACTTGAACGCAATTTAAAACATTTTTATTTTCATGAATGAATGAGCAACAGTTATCTTTAATTGAACAAAAACACTTCAGATTCAATATGGCACACCTCAATTCACACATCAACACTGTAACAACATAAAATACACCCAAAAAATCTCCTCTTTTCAACGGTCAATCTCTCCGTAGACGACGTCCATGGTGCCCAGCAGAGGCGCCACATCGCCAATCAGCGGCTCACACTTGCCGCCCGAGCCGCCGGTGATGATGTGATTGAAGGCGGCCAGGTGGGCAAAGGTGGGCGCCTTGATCTTCACCCGGTAGGGCCGACTGCTGCCGTCGGCCACCAGGTACACGCCCAGTTCTCCCTTCGGAGACTCGATGGCGGTGTAGGTGTTGCTCGCCGCCACCTGGTAGCCCGCCGACCAGAACTTGAAGTGCTCAATGAGCGCCTCCATGGAGCTCTTCATGACCGCACGACGAGGCGGGCGACAGCGGCGGGGCGCGGCCGCCATGACCGGTCCCTCGGGCATTCGATTGATCGCCTGGCTGATGATGCCCACCGACTGGCGCACCTCGGCGACGCGCACCAGGTGGCGGTCGTGGTTGTCGCCGTGGGCGCCTACGGGCACGTCAAAGTCGTACTGCTCGTAGCCGTCGTAGGGCTGCTCCTTGCGCAGGTCCCACTGAACCCCACTCCCCCGCAGCATCGGTCCGCTGAAGCCGTAGGCGAGCGCATCCGCGGCGCTCACCACGCCCGTTCCCACCAGTTGACCCCTCCAGATGGGATTCTCCGAGGACTCCTCCAGGCGGTCCAGCAGGGCGGGCATCGTCCGCGTCCACTGGTAGAGATCCTCCAGCAGGCCGGAGGGAAGGTCGCGGGCGACGCCTCCGGGACGAATGTAAGCGGGGTGCATTCGAGAGCCGCTCACTCGTTCGTAGAAGGACTGGATCTGAGGAAGAAAAAGTGGGTAAAAATGTGACAAAAGTAGCGTTAAGAACGGTGTTACCTTTTCGCGCTCCTCCGCGGTCCAGAAGAAAGGCGTGATGGCACCAATCTCAATGCCACTGGAGCCCAGAAACATCAAGTGCGACATGATGCGTGTCAGCTCGGCAAAGAGAACTGAAATTATAGAAATTCTGAAAGATAGAAAAAACTCAAGCTAATGGTACCTCTAATGCACTGCGCCCGCTTGGGCACATGAACGCGCAGGAGGCGTTCCACGGCCAGTGAGAAGCACTGTTNTGTCCAGAAGAAGGGCGTGATGGCGCCAATTTCGATGCCACTGGAGCCCAGAAACATCAGGTGCGACATGATGCGTGTCAACTCGGCAAAGAGAACTGAAATTATAGAAATTCTGAAAGATAGATTNCTTTTCGCGCTCCTCCGCGGTCCAGAAGAAAGGCGTGATGGCACCAATCTCAATGCCACTGGAGCCCAGAAACATCAAGTGCGACATGATGCGTGTCAGCTCGGCAAAGAGAACTGAAATTATAGAAATTCTGAAAGATAGAAAAAACTCAAGCTAATGGTACCTCTAATGCACTGCGCCCGCTTGGGCACATGAACGCGCAGGAGGCGTTCCACGGCCAGTGAGAAGCACTGTTCATTGCACATCGCCGAGAGGTAGTCCAGTCGGTCCATGTAGGGCAGCCCCTGCATGTACGTCTTTGTCTCCATCAGCTTCTCCGTGCCGCGGTGCATGAAACCAATGTGCGGGTCGGCCCGTTCGATGACGCCCGCACTGGTCGCCTCCTTCATCGTCAGTATCAGCCGAATCAGCCCGTGGGCGCCAGGGTGGCAGGGGCCAAAGTTGAGCATCACCGTTCGGGTGAACAGATC